ATCCTTTGAACCGAAACGTCAATGCGTCAATGCGAAGGGTTCCTGCAAAACCTACCCTCTCTGCATTGTAGAAACTCTTAAACCTCGGTACCTCTGCTTTTGTTGCAGTTGGCCGCCACAAGAATCGTGCTGGCACAAACATTTCTCTGTTGAGAATGTCTTCAGAGCAGAGTGAATGTTCCTACGTCCTGATCACCACGCAGACAACATCGGAAGTAGTAAGAGCAAGACAGAGACACACGAGCAGAAGGCATCTGAGTACAAAACACCTGGCTCTTCGATCCAGTTGATGTTGCTGCCAACGCTGGCGCACGTCACCACCTGAGCAGAGACGGCAAAACAGTCGCTGCTAACGGTCTGCTAACCATCGGAGAAGCTCGTCGGCCGGAACTCGGTGGACATGCTGGCCTCAAGGTCGTCGTCGTAGGCATCAGCGTTGCCGTGGTAATGTCCACAGAGCCAGAGCCTCCGTGCGAAAGTTCGGGGGTGTTTTGGATGGTTTTCTCATGGCTCAGGACATGGACTGACACGTTGAGAAAATTTGAAATGCCTGGTCCCTGGAAATATGCTTTCTGACGACTGTAACAGAGCATCGCCTGTTACTTCATGCTGGAAAAGAAAAAGGAAAAAAAAACCTGCTTCCAAATAGCTCCTGGATCGGATTTTAGCGAATGCCACAGGCCGCCATCCTAAGCTCAAAAGGCTAAGCATGCCATGCCCCCTCACCCGCAAAAAAACGGACTGGGAGTGTCTAGGTCCAGGTGGTCACAGGTTTGTGAGGATTGAGGCCACAGTCAAAATTAAAGCAATGAGAGACTCGGCAGCATTACGATCGGTTGGATCTTCCCCGGCTACCCTGACTACCACGACGGTTCCACGAAAAACTGAGCATTGCAAGGAGCAGAGGTATTTGGATTGTTCAGGCGCTCTGATGACTCTTTGAGTTAAGGCCGTTGGGCTTCTTGTAACCAGTACATCATCAGCAGCACCACAATTCAAGATCATCAATAGCATGATGGACTCCTTCGTGGACTCCACCGTCTCCTAATCACCACATCATGTGCGCCAGCAGCAGCATTGCACACAAGTATAGTACTATCACCATCCCCACCATCACCTTTGCTGCAGCCATCTCTACCGCATGCTACCACCTTCCGCATTCTCATGGACATATACCTGTCTTCTCTTGCTCCTCCTCATCATCATCATCATCATCCTCTCTCTGCTGGCATCAGCCTGACACCGGCTTCTTTGGCCAGCTTGACGATGCGCGCGCGGGGCTCGGTCTCCCAGTTGGCCCAGCCCTGCCTCAGAGCTTTGCGTGGCTCGGGCTTCAGGGCGTGTGTGGACTTCAACGTTTCAAGGTTCTAAAGACGAAGTGGTGGCCTGACCTTGACGTTGGGGCATCTGAAACCTAAGTCACACCTACATCCAGAAACTCTCGGCCGTGCAACTTTGGACCACACTGAATCTAACTCCAATTGCCAAGTGCTGTCATTGACATGAAAGGCCGAGGAGTCGAGCCTCCGATCTGGGGCCCACACGGCTCATCAGGTTCTTCGATAAAAGGCGGCACGTGGCTGAGCACGACCGCATGCTTTGGCTTCCTGACAAGCTTGATTCATCGAGGTTGGAGTTGGGATTGGTCAGTAAGAGCCGCTGAAGAACTGAAGGCATAGGCATGATGCGTGCACGTAGTTCTTGCCATCGGCGAACTCCACAGTGTGGGTTTGACGTTGACAACCCCTGACAACCCCTGGCTCCCTGGCCAGCTGGCCATGTTGTCTGGGTCTTCGATTGATGAGGCTTTCTCGCACATCGGTCGTCCTTCTTGATAGATACATGGACAAACGACACTTTCGTGGGCAGCGCGAAAAATTTCGTGCCGAGCGCCTGAACAGACACAACTATGAACCAACCGAGGACCTCTGTTGCTTCATGACCACCTATTTCAAGGGTGCATCTTCAACTTTCCTCAGGCTGGAGCGACTTGCGATTTCAGTTTTATTGAGAATGCGCTCCATGTGCAGAACCGTTGCCACTTTCAAGTCTGCGGTGAGCATAAAACAAGTTCGGAGCCTGAGCCAACAAAGTTAATTAAAAACTGCGAAACTCTGCATGGACAGGTCTTGCAAAAGGGCCGAATGCGCCAAGCTGATTCGGCGGACAGTACAGTACAGAAACTCAAAATCAGTCCACATGAGTGCAAAGCGACACGAGAACTGCTCTCTCCTTGTGGAATCTTGTTCTACAGCCCCGAATCCACATTGAAGCCGAAGGCCCTTGAAGTGGAGTCATCCAAGTGCAGTCTCAATACAGTTTGAAATGTGAAAAAGGGGACCTGCATGTGTAGGAAGCGAGAGACGGTGTCTGGCAACGATGCTCTGCAACCGGTTGGACGCGACCCAAGAGCCAATGAAGGGAGCCGCAGATCCCAATGGTTCCGGCTTTGAGGAGACCAGCATCCGGCGTTCGCTCCAAGAGCCCGCCTCTTCTTCAGCGCCTCGAACTGTGCTTCGATCCAGGTGTCCTGCGACGGCATCGGGTTTGATGCAGGACAGTATCTGACCTCTGCAGCAAGAGCAGTGGCAGGAGCAGGAGCAGTAGCAGTAGC